CAGTTGTATATTTTATTAAATAATTCAGATCTAAAGATTTCCACTTTTGGGATGTGGTCATGCAGACTCTGTCGATCAGTGGTTTTATATCGTGATTAAGATAAGAACATGGACTAAGGTGCATTTGATGTCTTGGGTTCTAAATTATGAGCTTCATTCTAAGATTTCTTTAGTTAAAATAATAATACAAGAGTTATCCTTCTTGACTGAGGAGAGGATATCCTTAAGACATTATAACTGTGCAACTGAACATTCATTTCAGTGGACATGGTGGATATTTTTGTAGTCCCTTTAATTATGAAATTTAAAAAAAATGTACTAATAACAATATTAATGAAATGAGTTTTTTTTTTTCAAATTCAATATTTTCTTTTTTCAAAACTTTATATAGCCATTTTATGAGCCCTTTATATTGTTTCTATAGTGAAGTGCATATTGAGAGCCTTTAAAGTATGTATGTATACAGATAGGGGATATCGGCCCAGAAGAAAGCTAGAAATTCCTTCACTACGTAATCTGATCATGCTGTTACTTGAGAGATACGTAAAGAATCGAGACATTTAAAGTACAAAGAATTCATTAAAGGACCAGCAATATGGCCTTAATGTCATTAACAACCCAACCGTAGCCCTCACTGCAGTGTGATCAGTGAACCGTGTCGCCTGTCACAGCAATCTGCTTCTGTTCAAGTTTTAAAAGAATTATATTTTGACACAGATATTTAAATCAATAGAAACTATTCAGGGTCACTGAAGAACGGAAATAAATAAGGAGAGGGTGGATTTTACTGGGGAATGGGTCAAGTGCTTTGTTGTGATTTTGGAGCATATACATAATTGAAGTTTGTCTGTTTTAATTCTTATTTGGAGTTTAAGATCCTCTCTGTCAGTTTTTGTAAGTATAGATTTTGTTAGTTTTGAAAAAAAATATACATTTCTTATAATTGGCAAGTTCAGACACAAGTTACATGTGTTATACATGTAGTTGTTAGATTCAAGTTATTTTTTACATGTCTCAGAGAACAGCTAGTTTACGCAGAAAAAAGGTCAACACTATCTTAAAACTTTTTGCACATGAGGGTTTAATTTGTTTTGAGTGTTGAATTTAATTTCATGCATTTCAAATTAAGTAATTGAAATGAAATTCAAGGCATTTTATGTAAATTTTGATACCTTTAACACTTGTAGATTAGATTAAATGTATTTATGCTAAAAAGGAATGATGAAGAATAACAAATCATATGCAGATAAGAGTAAATGGACAGGGTCCCCCCCCCTCCCTTTGCCACATACTCACACCAATATCCCAATTTCTCATTTGAAGAGGAGAGTCATGCTAAGGAATTTATAATTATATGGGCAGATCTAGAGGGTGGGGGTCCAGACAACCCTCAACCCCCCACCCCCATCCCGGTCCCCCCACCCACCCAATATCTTATTTTCTCAGTTGAAGAGGTTCAAGTGCTGATCTCTTTGTTCATTAATTCATTCATTTCTCTCAAAAACTCTATGTACATGGTACATTATAGAGGGTCTAAATGATATTCTAGATGTGGGGATGGATCCTAACAACGAGAAATTGATAAACTTCTTTTGTAATTTTAAAATTTATTTGAAGATTTAAGTATATTATACATGTACTATATGATAGCTTACAAGGAAATGGTAAATTTCATGCTCCGAATGTCTATAAGCTAATTGTTCATCTATCCATCATGGACATTATTATAAATATATGGAACCTTTTTGAATATTAATAGATACATTTTCACTTAAAAGGTTATCTTTTGCAAGATTTTTGTCATTCTTTAATACATTAAATAAATGCACATAACTTAAAAGATGTACCATAGGCTAGACTCAAGGTGATGCCAAGGTTACTTATATAAGTCTGAAAAATCTTGTAATAAAGAAAAAATGATCCACTGTAACAATGTATGTTCATGTAATTTTAAGACAGGTAAATGTTTTGAATTGTGACACAGGTAAAACAATATAAGATTTAGGTACTGTGTCAGGCAGCCTGGTGTGGTACATATAAATACAGTCAATTCTCGAATTATCGCCATTCGATTCATCGCCATTCTCGCAATACCGCCATGATTTCCCAAGAACGTTTTTCCTGCTATATAAAATTCTCTTTATAACGCCAAATTCGCATACCGCCATCCGCCACCCTGTTTTCAAAACAAACGTCCATTTTTTAAGCGTCAATTATCTCGATATACCGCCACAGGTGCGTGCGGTCAGTGAAGCGCGGCTAATTGGTTGACGCTATCCCTGTTGCAAAGCATGCAAAGCCAGACAAGATACACGCAATTAAATAATTAAATTAGAATTAAATGAACAAATAATTTTAAAATGAACTGTTACAATGATGTTGTTCTGTTGTTTTGTTTAATAAATCATTTAGTCACGGCTTCGCCACGAAAGCGGTAGTTGTGAAACTACGCCGAATACGATATTATTTTGATGATCACTGCTTTAAACAATGCAAAGTTTGCTTAAAAATAATTATACGGTATAAATTGTAAACGTTTCACTAACAATGATGCCATAAACAATAAATTTATTCAAGAAACCATTTTACGTACTGTCAGCAATATATCACGACGATCGACCCGGCATTTTTTTTTTTCAATGTCAGACGTGCCGATTTACATGTACATAGATGCACATGTACTTGTCTTTATTTCATAACTGCACATTTGTTTTAAAGAAATTGTAGATAAAAAATTACTTGAAGTATTTTAAAATTTAGAAATATGTTTTATATACATGTACATGTAATTATAAGAATAAAAACGCTTAATGGTATTTCTAAGAACGGTAACTCTACGTCTTGTTTTCTAAAAGATGGGAAATTCAATTCATCGCCAAATTCGTTATACCGCCATGATTTCTAAATTACAAAAGGTGGCGGTTTATCGAGAATTAACTGTACTGTCACTGTGATGATCTCTATGCTAATTTACAACATGCCTGACACTGCTTGTTAATGCTGTTTAATTTAAACAACATTTACAATTTTTTTGGATATTGTAATCTATGTTAGCAGATAAAATATTTTGACTTAATGAGCCTGCATAATTAATGTTATCATATAAATGGAAATTCAGCTAGTTAGATTATTCTAGCTGACTATAATAAGACATTGGGTTATAAACAGCTGATTGTAGTTCATCATGCCCTGCCTCTCTCAGGAATGTAAATCATTTCATTACCATAAAGATGGTTAATAAATCCACTCATTTACTCCTACAAGAGACGTAAAATTCCTCCCACCCTTCACCCGCTTACACCGCACCTTTTAACCCCCCACCCCAACCCCCTAAAGAAGAAACATACGCCTTCCAATTTAAGGACATTTCTTGGCAGCCTTGCATCAAAATTTTAACAACCCTCCTCCCCAATACCCCCTCTTCTCTGTCACCTCTCAATCTTTCTTCCCACATCTACCCCCCCCCCCCCCCAAGCCCCCCTCCCCCCACCTTTACCCTGTCTGCTAGCTCATGTATCTGCCGGTACTGTAAGATTGTAGGCTGGTTAGCTTTTTGTTATGACTCTTAGTATAAGTTGAGATGCTACAAGAGAAACCTCTTTATTTAATAATTATTGAGGAATTTTACTTTTTATACTCTGACTCTGAAAAAAATTATAAACACTGATTAATGACTGGCTTGTACATTCAATTTTTACATGCTATAAGCATTTTATGAAGATAATTTTCCTCTGTTACATGTACATGTTGAATAATGAAAAAAAAATTAATTCTAAATTTAAAAGTTAATTTATATAGGTTCAGGCCTTATGAGTACATTTTATATAAAATCAGAATTTCATTCCTTTCTGTATTTTTATCTATTATGTAGTCTAGAGAACATTCCTTAGTCTGCTATTTACACAACACATAAATTACTGCAGTGTTACACAGTGACAGATAATGGATAGGATTAAATGTAGGGGGTGCTGATCCCCCTGATACCGGGGTCAATCAATACTGGTCAGGGCACCAGGAAGGGGCACCCCAGATAAAGGTAGGACAGGTGTACACAGGTGTAAACAGGTGTAAATAGTGGGCTCACATTTCACTGGATACTTATCTGTTGGAATAATCATCTTGGTGACAATCTAAGGTGATTTATTTATTCATCTTTTTATTTCTTTTATTTGCAAAGAAAATAGTTTTTAAAAAAATTAAAAGATTTTAACCCCATTCCCCTAAAATTATCATTGATTATCATTGTACAGTAAAACTCTGTTATAGCGAAGTCACTGGGACCTATGAAATTACTTCGCTATATCCGTATAAGGAATTCATTAAATTTATAAAGTGAATTTGGCTATATCCATGAATTGTAATATACTATATGAGTTTTACTGTATATATTGAATTAATTTGCTATTTTTAGAAGACTATATATATAGATATAAACTTTTCAAGATCGGCATAGAACTTAGATGTACACTTTTTATATATAATATTATTGTTCTTTTGAATCAATAAAGTTTCTGTGTTACTGAAAAAAGGACTAGAATGCTTGACATTCATTTGATACCTTAAAAATAAATAAATGTGACAAAATTTGAGGAATAAATGAATTTCACATTAATATATTGCATTTTGGGTCTTTTAAGAGTTACCTCCCTTATCGCACTATACTTGTTTTAATATTTTTGGTATGCAAATTTTACCACTTAAATTAAATTTTAAAATATACAAACAACCAGATCTAGAAAACATTTTTTTTATCTTATTGTCCATGAATATTAATATTTGAGAATTTTTCACTTGAAAAATAAAATTTATCTTCAGAGTTCCATGCAAATTCACTTTCATTTTCCTTAATAATCCTTTCCTCTCCCTCTCTCTTTCTCCCTCTCTCTCTCTCTCTGTGATTTCTTCTCTCTCTCCTCTCTCTCTATCCCTCTGTCTCTCTCTCTCTCTCTCTCTGTGACTGTAACACAGATTATGCAATATAAACACTTTCGCTGAACACACAAGAATGTCAGAATTTCTCCAATAATTTCCCAGCATGCCTCTCTCTCTGCCTCAGGCTCAGTGAGTGTGTGTGAAAACATTGTGTGGGGAATATTGGTGATCCAGGATCAATACATTACAAATGAAAGATGGAGGAACACACTGTCTGATTTTACAGAGGGATATTTACATGATAATGGTGGGTAAGACTTCTGATGGGACCTTGTGCCTAATATCATAGTGTTGTTCTAATTAATTCCTCCTGAAATTTTCTTCTGAATCAGCCCTTGAGTCATTTATAATGTGTCTGATGTAAATGTCTGCCTGTCAGTCTGTCTGGTCATTCTAGGCATGGATTCTGGCTGATCAGCTAGTAGCAGTTTCTATAACTGTATAATTGGATTCTACTTGTACTGTTACAGTAATTAATTACAATCTCTCTGGTTTTCTGTAAGTACAGATGAACTCTCTCTATCGGGTCTCACAGCTGAGACAGTTATACATTTGTGATTACTCTGTATGACTGCTGTGTCTGCCAGAGTCTCTGTTGATTTAAGGCCGTGTGACAGTTATAATGTGAGAACCAGCCCTATATTCTGTGACCTTGGTAATTCTGTTTACAAATACAGTTCTGAAGACCTGCTTCTGACAGATGGAGGGGGGCCTCTAATAACTGTACTGTAACTCTCTCATCAGAGCTGATCCTGTGATGTATAAAGAGATGATGAGTCTTCTCCTAGCTTCACTCTTGTTCTTTTGTTTAGTGGATTCTATAAGAACGTGTGTAAAAAGAAAGCACAGATTTCAGTACCAGCCCAGGTACTTCTTATTGATTAATTATTAAATGTTAAAATGATAAAAAAAATCAATGAGTTTTCCTATTGATCTCCGGCTGATAAATCTCAGGTTTAACACATGTCAGGGTTTTGTTGATTTTTTTCCCCGTTTATATGTTATCTGATAACAGGAATTGGTCAATTACTGTGAATTACAGAGAAACTTCCTAACAAGTAAATGACTCATAATGATGGTGTAATGTTAATGAGATTCAGTTAGCAGTAAAGGCAGCCAACACCCCACCTTGAAATCTCTCTTTTTGAAAATATCCTCTTTCTCTCTCTCTCCCCCCTCTCTCTAACCTCTCTCTCTCTCTCAGTCATTAATAAACCTCACCACACTTGTCAGTAAAGCTTTAATGAGTCTCCCTCCCTCCCCTCTCCCTACTCTCTCTCTCCTTCTCTCTCTCTGACTTTTGTCTCTCTTTCTTACTTTCTCTTCACCACTCTCTTTCTCTCTCTAATTAAGTCAATAACAAACCTCACACATATCAGTTAAAAGCCTCCTCTCTCTCTCTGATCTCTCTCTCCCTCTCATTCTCTCTCAGTCAATACCAAACCTCACACATGTCAGTTATAAAGCCTTAATGAAGTGGGAAACTCCACACCTGCCTCATTTCCTTATTGTAACAGACAGATGGATATTTATAATAGATTAACCTCACTAACAGGTACACAAAACTGCTAGAAAAAAGTTTACCTGTCTGGAAAGGGGGGTGGGGGTGCAATTATATTAAATTGTCATCTGTTACTGTTATTTAATCTTATGTGTTTTTTTATGTAATCTCTGTTATATTCACAAAGAGAATTGAGATCAATAAATTGATGGATTGTTGTAAACAAATGACAAAGTCAGCAGGAGCCAATGAGTTGTGAAATAAAAATTAACCATTATTCTAACTGGGCTCTTCTCCTGTACATGTAATACTGTGTTGAGATCAATTGCACCAAGCTAGCTGTAAATTGTCCACAGCAAAGTGAAAGTCCTTAATTCTCATGCATGATCAGTCATCTAGGAAAGGTATTGTGTGGGAGGAGGAGGAAAGGAAAGGGGGGAGGGGGGGCTGGGGTGAAAAAACCCAACTTTAAATAAAAAACGTTTACTGGAAGAAAGTATACAATGTCAAGATCATGTAGTTAACAAGATGATAAAATTGCTTTTCACAAAATTAAGATAATCTACGCTGTGTAAGTACTGTATACAGCAGAAAGAGTTGGTAAATTTATAATAGAACATGCTTAAAGTGAATCTAAAGATTATTTTGTTAAAGAGTTTCACCTGAATGGCACTTTATAGGACTCAACAGATGTTTCTGCATGATGTAAGAACAAAGGAATTGTAGCAAACTTTATAACACCCCATTGTAAGGGGATTCAGTTGAGGGATTTCTTTTGACAGATATTCTCTAGTTGTCAACCCAAACAGCTGATTTTAAAACTGGTACACTGAAGCTCACAAAAATTATTTTTAATGCCCTGTATTCAAAGATTCTGGGCATATTGTTTTCATTATGTTCATTTGCCTGAAATAGATTAAAGAAGTGGGGTCCAGTAAATGTAGTACTCAGGCCAAAAGGAAGCAATTTCAGTTGGGGGGGGGCACAGCCTTACATTTTCATTTGGGGGCACTTTCAACTATCAAAATTCAGGACTGAGGCAAAAAAAAGGTAATCAGACATTAATTTAGGGGGCATAAAATTAATTATTTTATAATAAACTCTGATATGTCAAAGTTACTCAGGAGTGCAACACACCCACCCAGATCCTAACAGCCATATTACTACACTGTACATGTACATGTATTTCACGGGAATGCTTATATTAACCAGTTAACACCCAAAATTAAAGAAAAAGTTTTACTGTGAATTATCTCCAAACCTATAAAAGCATTGATAAAGGCTAACTTAGTTTTAGTAGCTGGCAGAATTGTCTGCCTAAAATGATTGTAAGACGCCGACTAGAATGGAGGTGTAAGATTCCTGTAAATAGTTAATAGCAGTCTAAGACTTTGTGTCTGAGTCAGTAAGCTCAGGCAGGCTGTCTGTGATCAAGACAGGGGGATTGATTGAGGTGTGATGTTTGACAAGTCAGTGTTATTTCTGTGTGAATCTTATGTATCCCAAAAAACTATACAGCAATAAGAACAATCTGCAGCAGGTGATGCACATCAGCCAAACACAGGGAATTCTTTGTTTACGTTTGATGCAAGGCACCATTAACCTGTGTGCATAATCGTGTTAATAGGTGTAACGTGTACATGTTGTATCAAAACGGTAATTGTGGGAGAAAACATTCAGCTGGGATTTAAGAAAATTACCGGAATAAAATATGTTAGAAAATCTCTTCATGTAAAAAGACTAGTGGCTGATTGAACACAGCATTTGGATAATATTATATTATCATGATTTAACACAAAGGAGGTCTTTGTATGGTATTATATAGTACAGTATTGCACAGTATAGTATAGTGTTATTATAGTAATATTAAATAGTATAATTGCATTGTAGTATAATTTTTGTTTTATATTTTAAAGTGATGAAGACACGGTTAAAATTACTTTGTCCCCTGAATTGAGCACTAAGTAGATGCACTAATATTATCAATGTTTATATTTTTCAGGTCATGACCCGTCTCCATGGTTACTCAAAGCGTAATGTCCACCGCCTGTTCTGAATTTACTCAGAATGCCTGGAAAAAAGATCTCTGCAAGAACTGTCAGCGGCCCCGAGCAGAGCACAGCATCGTGGGAGATTTCAACCCGGAGTCTACGAGCTCACCTATCCCTACAAAACGGACTTCCATCATCGCTGATGATGTCATACATCAGGCAAAACGCAACGCTTCCTTGATTCTCTCAGAGTTAGAGGGTCGAAGTGATGGAAATTCTGACTCACGTAAACCGCGGACTTCTCGAAGTTTATCCGTGGAAAAAGAGAAAATACAAAAGTCGCTGATATCGTACTCAAAAGTGACTGTTAATAATGTACGAAGTATTCTAGTCAAAAATGGTGAAATACGCAGGAAGACGTACGATATTTCTTTTGTGGAGCAAGAGCCCTCTGTGATCGGGGAGGATGGGGGATATGACAATCTATTTTTAGACAAAGAGGAACTTCCTGTGGAGGAGGACACTGGGGAGGATATTTCGTTCACGGAGGAGGAGCGGGAATTTGTGCTTCAGGCGTTACATAATACAATCTGGAATTCAGATCTGAACAATCTAAATGGTGCTAAGAATAGAACAACTGAGGATGATAAGAGTTATGAATTTGAGGATGCTAAGCTGTCCTCACTATGGAAAAAAGACAGGTTCGCAACACTACGGGACTGTGATAAATTATTCTCCCAGAGGTTCGGGACATTTCCTCTCAGAAAACCTCTCGGCTCAAAGTCAAGTTTAGAGCAAATGTTTGATAGGGACGGGAAACTTGAGAGGTCATCTTCCGATTGCGATCTGAAAAAAATAGAGGAGGAGAGAGAGGGAACGCACTATGAAACAAATTTCTCGCTGTTCGAGAAACGCCGCAGTCGGTCGGCCTCCGAAATGGAGGGTCATGTTGAAGAGCAGGGAGGGGCACAGCCGTACATGGATGTAAATATCATGCAATTTAATGGACAGGGTGAGGAAATAAAAAACGGAGAAGATGATGTGTTCGAGATGGACAAATTCGATGCAGAGAGTTTGTTTGAGAATTTTTCCACAGAAATAGATTTTGATTCCTCGTCAGCCGGAATGGCTTTAGTTGACCATTTAAATGCCATATTGGCACGATACAGTGACAATGTCTCAATTAAAGGGTTTGATGATAATGATTTTTTGCCAGATTCTGACCCAGGTGACCTTCCAGCCAACAGTGAAAAAATCCTGGAGAGTTTGAGAATTCCCAAGGGTAGTATAAAGTCAAAAGAGCTGGAGGCAAAGATTGTGTCACTAGCCACCGATATAAGGAAGAAGAAGCGCCCTGCCCCCCGTCCTCCTGTAGCCCCACCCCCTCAACCCACTTCCAGAAAAAGCTCAAGTCTGAATAGTGACCAGTCCTCCAAAAAACCATCGCCATCACACTCACAAAACTTATCTGAACCAAACTTTAAAATGGTGCCTATTGGTAAATCTATCACTGGCAATAGTCAGGAGAAATTCCTATCACCCAAACGCACAGGTGACTTTCATGATGATTTAATGGACAACAGAGCTAAGAGTGATAACAGCAAAGGGAAAAAAGGGATCACCTCCTTTTTCCGCAGTATACTACGCAGAGGGAAAGATTCACCTGAGAACTCCACGGAACAGATCTCTGAGGCTTCTAGTCCCCCCAGAGTCGCTGCACCAATTACTCCAGTCACCCCCTCACCGGAAAAAAACAAGGAGCCATCTCCTGAAGCTAGAGAAGAGAAGAAGTCACCGCAGGTCAAAGCCAAAGTCCTGCCTGCTGTGTCATGTAGGAAATCCCGAACCAGCATCATAATGTCAGCTACCGAGACATCAGCCCTGTTTAATGGACCACAGGGAAATAAAACAGAGGAGACAATGGAAAGTGAAAGTATGACAAGTAGCATGATTGTGGAGGAAAATGAAAGTAAAAGTGAAAGTACTCCTAGTGTAAAACCATCTGTACCAACAAGACCAAAACCCCCACCAAACCCTAAACGACCAACGGTCTCCCCCCAGCATGCAACAAGGGAGGGACGTTCCTCTTCCCCTGCCTCAGAAAGAAAGGGTTCCACAGGGGGTAAAGACAGGAAGGGGTCAGACAGTGAAAGTGCAACAGGGAGTTTAGAGAGGCCAGACAAAGGGAGTCTGGAAAGAGAGATCAGTAGAGCTCTGTCCAAAGAAGATAGCCCCAAGAAAGATACGGAGCCTCAGGTTGTGAGAAGGCGAGCAAAGAGTCCTAAACGAGTGTCTGCGCCTCAGAAACCAGCAGTACCACCTGGGAAGACTGTAGAAAGTAAAAACGCCTTGTTTACAAAAGAATTGGAAATGAGGCTGAGTAAAACTCTGGACTCCAAGGCCACACCGCCATCTGCAGGTCAGAAAGGGAATGTGGCACCACCTAGTGGTGGTGGACAGAAACCAAATGTGGAGGTGAAGAAGTCAGCACCTAATCCACCCACTACAGCTGTCAGGTCAGAGGTCACAGCGGCTCCACCTGGTGGTCAGATCAGTCAACAGTCAGCAGGTAGGGTATAGGATTTGTAAACAGAATGAAAAGAATATGCAATTTTCATGAGGAATATTTTACATTTTATCTAAGGATTCTCAGTACTTTTTAAATTCTTCTAAATTATCAATAACTGCACCTCTTGGTCAATAGATCAAACAAGTTGGCACTGCATATGATTTTTAGACGGGGTCACGTGACCCCGTCTTTTAGTTTACTCTCAGAGGCCTAAAAATAGAAAAGGGAAGCCGTGGTGATAACACATGAATTAAATCTACGCATACGCAAGAGTGCAGAAATTGTTTCGATCAAAACATAAACATTTTGTATCAAACTGAAGAAATTGATATGAACTTTTGTCTAACTCAACTAATAAAGTATTAAGATAATTTAAAACTGAAAATTTTAACTGTAAATAATACTAGTAGACAAAGTACTATCCTGCGTATTATTATGACTGTGTACGCATCATCCATTGTTTACTTCCGGAAAAATTATTAGTTTGTACCTGATGAAATTCGGAGCAGTTCAAAAAGGTTTCTAGACTGAGCAATTATTAAAATTTCTACTTCAAATCAAATTAGGTGAAAAATGTGAATGTATATTACTCATATTTTTGTTTTTAGTATGTTAATGAAAAAATAAAGTTGTTATTAAAACTCGTAAAAAAAAAATCACATTTGTGAAATCTAGCATGAAGATTATTTTGACCCCGTCTTTCAGTACTGTCTCAGTACTTTGATTCATAATTTCTTCTGAAATAATTTTTGTGTTTATCATACCGGTATGTTTATTGTGTTGACTGAATTTTTTTTATGTATTATTTTATTTTTTTTAAATCAGTGCCCTGCAAGATGCTATTTTTTTGACTTATTGTAATTGAGAATATCCATAAGGCCGGAATTAAAAATATCTTTGTTTCCCCTAACCCGACCCTAAATTATCAAGTTGGGTCGGTAGGTAGGTAAACAATTTTATTTTTCTGACAGCAGCTTTGAAAATACATTCTAAAATTTAATGGAAAATTACATTTATAAATAAGAAAAGTACAAAAGAAAGCGATTTGTTATCAAAATGCTAAGTATCGACATATGCCGTTTAAAATAAAATTCATGATTAATTAATTCACAACTGTTATTTAGTTGAACTTGTGAAATATATACATTTAAATAAATTGAATTATTCCAAAATACGTTACATAATATTTTTTAAACCTTCCATTAGCCTTCAGAGCTTATAGACGCTCTATGTACTTTTTTGAGTTCCATGAGATTTGCAGTGGTTCTGAAGCATTTTGCTTTGGAGTTAAAAAGTAAGTGGCTAATTTTAAATCGCAGGTTCAAATCCCGATGAATAACGTTGAAAACGGTCCTTCAAAGGGGACCATAAAAACAAACTGATGTCCAGTGTCGCAGAAGATGCTGGCTCAAAAAAAGATCCCCCACTGCTTAATGGCAAAAAAGTGCTAAGTACGTCTAAATTTGGAGCAATGGGGAAATGTTTAAATGTCGTCCTAACTAATCTCGAGGATTAAAAGCAAAAAAACAACCAGTTTTCAAGGATCGACCTAATTAAAGACAAATACACTGGACGTCTCAGGAAGCTGAATCATGATTTCAAAACTATATAGAAAGATTATGTTAACAATAGTTAATTGAACCAAACCGAGTCTACAAATGATAAAAATGCTGTATACAATATCATAGTCACGAAGTTTTACCACTAAATAAAGGCATGAAGAAAGGACATCTGAATTATATTTATCAGGATGAATATGCAGCCATATTTACAACGACTCGAGTGGCATATATAAAACATAGGTACATAGATGGACTGGTTATTAGATCAAAACTCAAATTAGGTAAAAATCAGTGTAATTGAATGATTTGTTCACTAGGTGGGCCCCTTATCTACTCATGAGGCGTTCTTACCATGTATTACGTACCTTGAATTCAAAAGACAGGGTTTGTTTGTTGTTTAACGTCCCTTTCGAAAATTTATTCACTCACATGGAGACGACAAGACACCTCCGAGACGCTCTTAATTAGTCATGCCAGGTAGATTTTATTATCGAATTGTTTCATGAGTAAAGAATTCCAATTAGCTAAAAGCAAAAGATTGAGACATTGTTTTATGAAGAGCTAATGTTATAATCACATCTGTCATTTTGTTTCCAACAAATGCTTGAAAATCACAGTGTAGAACAATTCTTATAATAACATTTTGATGAAATTGTATTTTATTAAACTTGGTTAATAATAAAAAAAATGTTTGAATCATCTTATTAAAAAAGATTTTTAGTCGGCGCGATTTAATTGGGTCGGTCGTTAGGGGAAACAAACGTATTTTTTATTTTGGCCTAATAGTTTTTATACTTTAAGCATATATATTGTCACACTTTAACACAAAATGAGTTTGAGAATATTGCTAGAAACATGAGAGTGGTGGGGAGTTACACACCAAAAAGATTACTACTGTTTTTGTGCACATGATCACAGGATAATTTGAAAGTAGCACAGAGAGAAATGTGCTTGAATATTTTGTCAACAAAATCAGATTTAATAAAACAAAAAATACACGTAAACACTTTTTTGATGATTTGCTTAAATGTTCAAATAAGACATTTTTCTAAAGTAATTTGTAATGTCATTGTAAAACTTGTACACATTTTAAATAATGATAAATTACTGTGCAGCAGTCCTGTGATATCAATATTTATAATACATTGAGGGAAATGAATGTGTTTTGTTTGCTGATCCAGTGAAGTACAATGTCTTGTTTTTATTTTCAGTTGATCACCTCTATGACAGGTGGCTCCACATTGAATCGTAGGAACACTATCTCTGTAGGAGAGGACCCCTCCATGGTCTCAGGTCAGTCTGACTATTATAGACTTCTGTGTCATAGCAGATATACTTCATTAAATATTTCTTTGTATAGACCTTACCCTCAGATCACTGAAGGTTAGCTGAACTTGAATATGCTGGGTATTATTAAGGTTCAAGAAAAACTTGTGTGTTACGTGTAAAAATCATCAGACATAAAACACTCTTATATCAAGAATTTCATTTGTATGCAAAAAAAAAAAATTAATGCAAATCACCATGTTCACCATAAACAAATTTATTTCTGTTAATGGCATATTGCCACATAATCTTATGCTTGTACATGATGAAAGCTAAAAATGATACAAACACTAAAAACCAATTGTTGTAAATGTAGGAATGACAAGCACATGCAGTAAAATTTAATTTTGAATTGAGATTTTATGTCAAAATTTGCACAGTCAGGACTTCTTATCTTGAGCATGGGGAAACTGTTAATAAAAAGAGATTGAGATGTCAGAAATAAAGTCAAGCTTATTATGGGGCTATTTGGGGAAAAAATTATCATCTCTTTTTAAAGTATTCCTTGTATTTGAGATATTGAGGGCCATGTGTAATGTGTTAGTATTGTTGGTTTTGAACGCTACTTAATATTCTAAATGATGCCTTGTTTCAGGAGAATCCACTTCCTCCGGATCAACAGCAGAAAAATACGATGAATGGCCAGAGTTTTCTCCTCTTGGTTCCCTTGAAAATGTTTATGAACCAATTATCCCTAAGGAGCCCCCTCCCCCTCCCCCCTCTGGGCCTCAGGGTGACGGTGATCTGACAGCTCCTCCAAGCACCGCCCTGGCCGTTCCTAAGTCTCCCAGTGAGGGATATCTGGAGCCGGTCACTCACCGGTCTACAGCAGCCAATGAAACGCCAGTAACCACGGTAACCACAGCAACCAATAACCAACTGACCAATCATCAGTCAGTCATGACTCAGTCAACCAATGAAATGATTGTCTCTGAGGAGGTCAAGGTTTCCATGGAAACATCAGTTCATCAGGAGGTCAGTGTGGATAACGTACAAAAGAGTTCAGTGGAGCCTGAGATCTCGACAGAGAGAGAAAGAATCCTAGCTTCACAACCAATTTATGAAGAGATCAATGGATATGGAAAGGAGCCAGCTAAAGAGTCGCCGAGTTCAGGGGATCTTCAGAAATCAGTCAATGACAGTTTATCAAAAGAGATGCACAGGTTCATGACGGACAGTCTGACAGTGGATATGAATGAGTCGGTGATTTCATTGGACCGTGACTTCCCGCCGGCGTCGCCGTCACAGACGGGCATGTCCTCGGGGTCAGAACCGTCCTCCCAGTGCAGCACGCTCAGTCGACCGAAACCGTTACCAAGGAAACGATCCAAACGGGAGAGCTTCTCGCTGGAGCAGCCCTATATAGCGATGAATCGTGGGAGCGTGACGTCGGCGCTGAACGAGACACAGCTGAGGGACATGTTGAATCAGCTCACGTCGATGAACCTTCAGACACTGAGGGATGTTTACACACAGTATGAGCGTATCTTTATAAAGGAGCCGGTATCTCTGGGCGTGCCCACGGCCGGTCCACTGAAGTGGACAGATTTTGATATTTACGGGAAACCTGTCCACTCCTCTGAGCGATGTGTTGTGTACAATGCCAAGCTCAGACTCAGCTCAACCAACTGTCAACTCATGGTAAGATGAGTCTTCAAGTAGCATTCTCAGTCTGTACAGTGTTTGTGTATTAAATATGTGTAAGTCATTGAAACTATAATCTGTATACTTTATATTTATTTGTTAGAAAGAAAGAGAAATGAGAATTTATTTTGGTTATATTCATTTCCTTGGACAGAAAAAAATTTTATCTTGAGAATTTTAGGCACTGGCTTCTTTGTCATCATTAGTTTATCTCTTTCCACTAAATAGTGTAGCAGATATTCATACTGAAAAAAGCTTTGTCTAAACAATTCTTAGTTGAACCTAGAGTAATTTGACTAAATTTCTTTATAAATGTCCTGGGTATGGATTAAAACTGTAGATGTCTGTAAAACTTAATGTTTATGATTTAATTTAGCTACAGCACACAAAGCCTGACCTGATGTCTTCCCAGCATCCCACACTGCTGAAGCCGACCGTCATCTTCTGTGATCACATCCCCTACTCCTATCTCACTGAGGACTTCATCAAAACCAATCAGCTCCTCCTCAACCTACACACCAACCAATCAAACTCCGCCAAGTGTTTCGTGGCTGTTGGACAGTTTGACATTTCTGACAGCCTCTCCAGTCACATGACCTCTATTCGCCATGGTAACAGTCAGGTGATGTGGACAGTAGAGGACATGATGGAGAATGTTCTATTCTTTATGTTACAAATCCTCAGTGCGATCTCTCACTGTCTCGATCAAGGCTTTAGTCTAGGAGACGCTAATTTCCGGGATGTATTTATTATTACCAGTAGCAACTGTTCCCATGGTAACATTGTGGCATTCCTTCCCCATCAGAGGTCACTAGATGGTTCCCACATTGATTCCGTGTTCTGTTTTCTGGATAAGTATCTCGCTGAAAACATGTCAAGTCGAAGTGAGTACGAGTTTGGGAAATTCGTGGGAGGAGTTCTGAAAGTGCAAAAAATGTTACAGTGTCGTAAGATCGAGATCCTGCCGTTAATTCGTAGTTACGTGGAGTTTCTTCTCTGGGGACCAAGCGAGACGTCGTGGCAGGGCGGGGTGGAGCGAACCAGCAGCCTGGAGCCCAAACTGTCCATGTGGTTAGAGAAAGAACGGGCAGCGATGGTGCATAGATTCGCCCGGGAATCGGCAGTCGAAGAGAAGAAGTATTCCATCACTGAGTTTTACAGAATGAAGTTCCTGTTAAAGTCTAGTGCTGTCAGTCTGTCTGAGTGTGTCAGGACTCATATGTCTTACTGATCTAGGTCAAGGTCAGACAAGGTCATTTAATCAGAAATATGATTTACTGTTTGATGATATTGGTCATATCTACAATTTAATGATATATGTTTGTAGTTTTTATTCTTAAATGAAAATGTGAACAAGAAGCATTGAAAATATGTCAAATTTATACCTATTAAATTCTTAATTGTTTCCCTCATGACTAGTGCTGCTTTAAGAAGAGAAATCAAATTTTTCATAAGTCACTCTTTTTTGGGTGGAGGTAGATATAGCATCTACTGAAAATATCCTTCAGTCCTCGACATAATCATGATAATACAAACTGTCTCTTAATACTGAATAATGTGTATTCCTAGGCTTATAGGAAAGATTCTTTTCTTTCTTTGGACGAGGGAGAGAGGAGTGTTGCTCTATAAGTATAGGTCTGAATTCAGACCTAATTCCTGTCCACATATTACATGCTCTGTTATGCATAAAACCATTTTTTTTCTTCAGTGCAAAATTGATAAAGATTTTGTTAAGTTTAATTTGTAGGTCAGATCAAAAATATGAGAAATACTAAGTAAGAAAGGTTTTAATGGTTTATAATATTTGTATAACCATAATAACATGTTATTATAAAAAAAGTTCTATTTTACCTCAAATATAATTACATTAAAACTATTGCGACTCATGTGACAATTGAAAAAAAAGGATCATTTTTTATCAATGTTTTTGTTGAATTGTCTCCACATGAAGATCTGAATTTTTGTTAATGAGATTTTTAAAAAGACTATGTACCTGGTATACATTTTAATTAAGGAGTTCCTTTTTTTTCTCACTTTTTAAAAATTTTGTAAATATGATAATCTCTTGAATGAAATCAAGAGTTATCTTTCTTTAGTCATCTTTTCTAATCCATTTTTGTTTTTTTTCATTTTCTTTCTTTGTCCACTGAGCATAAAGATCAATATTTCTGTGCAATATTATCCTGTTACTATGGTTACTCTGTATGGGACATTTTTGAAAGGTTTGCAAAGATGGAACAAAGTTATTCTAATGTCCTCATTGTTTTTATTTATAACCGACACCATGGCCATTGTATTTCAGTTTTATCAAAAAGGATCAAACCTCTTGCCTGAGCTGCTTGCATTATTTTTGTATTAATTACATATTTTTTAAAATATATAAGTTCTTATATAGTGTTTTGTATGAGTAGATTTTGCAAAATAAGGAAAAAAAGTGCCAATTTATTTATTAGCATGCACAATTTTAAACCATTTGATTGTCTAATATTACCCGGGATATTTACCCCTAGCATTAGATATTTTTATTCATAATGATTTTACAGATCACATCTTTTTGATAATATTGTAATATACAGAGAACATAACCATTGTTTTACTGCTAATCTCGTCTTAATTATTGTGAATATTTTAACTTGAATTTTTCAAATAACTCAAAAGTCCTAAACATGGTAAAGGGACCACATATTTAACATCATTTACTTTTCAACATTTTTTTAATGCAGACTTTTTATATACACTGTAACTGTCTTATCTGTTTTGTATCAGTTAACATAGCTAATATGTTTAAATATTAAATATATATGCTGTTTGTATGACTTTCATAAAGCTCTATGATGTGCAATATATGTATGTATGGTATACTGTATATTTATTCCTGTTTATTATGTATGTTTGAATGACTCATTAAGTAAGTTTGTACAAAATGTATATTAATTTGTATTTACATGATACGGAAGCCACAAAGGATCCACTGAAATTATAATCAAGCAATATAATTAATGATAAATCAGAATAATTCACCAGTATCTCTAACAACATATTATAGTGCAAGAAATATGTTTCTATATATACTGTAAACCATTATTCGCTCTAAGGAATGTCAGAGGTTTCTGCAACCTACTTCAACTTGCAATAATTAATTGCTGCAAATCAAACATTATTTTGAAATTATAAGTATATGTAGTATAATCAGCAAAATTCCCTCCAACACCCTACAAGCTTAGAACATTTTCTTGTTTGTATTTAAAATTGCTAGGCAGCCTTTGTAAAGCAGATACATGTACCCTTTCAGTATTTAAAAAATATAGCTTTGTCAATGAGGCGTTGTTTTCTGAAAGAGGTCATCAGCTTATTTTGACATACTGTACACAGGGTTATTTTCGTCCCTTGTTATTTTCGCCCTTTTGCACTTGCGAACAATTTTGCCCCATTTTAAATTCGCCGAGTCATAGTTCTGTTTAAGAAATTATGCTGTGTAATTTCGATTCACCCCGTTTAAATTCGCCCAATCAGGAAGAGGGCGAAAGGGGCGAAAATAAAACAGGGGCGAAAATTTCCCTGTATACAGTATTAGTATTCAACAGAATAACCTTCCTGATGTAATAAGGTTTAACTGTACTAGAAATGCTAGATATAATTTTATCATAGAGTAAGAGATCCTTTTCAATGAAGCTATAACATATATACTGTTAAAGATTTCCTGCTACATTACATTTCAATGTTACATTTTAATGTGATAGCTTTTCTGTACCTTGTTTACAGTTGAGGTATTTCTTACTTTATTTCCATATTTATTATATTAAAACAATGTATTCCATTACATTGTAAAATTTTGAAAGATATTTCTCAGCTTGTTGTATTTTTGTTGCGAGTCCATCCATTTTATTTTTTATTTACAACAGTATTGCGGTTGTCATAGTTACTGTGATTTTTTTTTTGTATATTATTATACAGAGTGAAAGGAAATATTAATTCTCTGTCTGTGAAACAGAATTGCAATAAATGGACAATACGTATCTAACTTAAGTTTTTGTTCTTTTTTCAATTCTGTTAGTAATTTTATTGTTTTAATGGGAATGGATTTATTTTCAACTGTTTTGATTGAAATTCCTACTTATTTATTCAAGGGGCTTGTATTCCAACAAGCTGGTGGAATTTCCAGGGAGTACTAGCTGCACCCTGTTAAAAACAGACCATTTATTTGTATTCTTGACAAGCAGAATTTACTCAAATCAATGTACAAAAAAAAAAACACTTGCCCCGGCCCTCAACTCGACCTACATGTATATACAGCTATATCCAAGACATATTTTCAAATATAAATAGATAACTACTTCCACTCAAACGTTTCTGTAAATATAACAAGGAAACTTAATAACAAAGCGATCACTTCAATTTTTCTGTCATCTATCAACATCCCATACCTGTTTTATATCATATAATTTTATTATCTGCATATGGGATCCAGTACGCAAGATCTACGAATGGAAAATTTCTAAAACAAAGCAAGTTACTACAAACAAATATGGTGAAACAGTGTATCAATATTCTCATTTAAAGTGATCATCATTTTGCAGTGACCAATCAATTCAATAATTTCATCAGCATGTACAATCTCTCTTAGGTCAAAATGAACTCATAAAAAGCGTTAAATAGCAGCACTGCATTTCTATAATATCATTTCATAGCCTATAGGATTTATTTCGGTAAGGTTGAAGCAAAAGATACCACAGAATCTGACACACTAGTTTCATGTTTTGATATTTTATTAGAAAAAGACGTTGATGATTATCTTGCAACAGAGTTTTCCGATTAATCGCAATGGCTTTAACTTTGCAATCTCCAACTTCCATTACTTATACAGAAATACATGTACCCTTTTCACCTGCATATGGGGTCTAGAAAATTCCCTACGAATCAAAGATTTCGAAAACGAGGTTAGTTATTGACAATCAAGTAGAGTAAACACGTATAACAACAGTCTCGTAAGTTCGTAAGTTTTTAGTTGATACTGTGACCTTGTCCACAAATACATGAACAATTTATCATTAAGGAAAATGCTGACTGACGTTTTCCATACGGATATTAGACCTTTATTTACACAATGAATTATCTACTGATTTTTTTTCCATTATTTTCCGATCATGACAATGGCAATGCAATTGTGACTGGTCGGCATGCAGGGGATGTTCATTCCTCCATGGCATCTAATTACACCCCAGAGGATCTTGTTTTCTCTGCTCCAAAATTTGCATTGGTGTTGTTCAATGAACTTTTGTACTGTTTATTACCTCCATATATTTCATTCACTAAAATAAGTCCCGTTTCTAGTGCAAAATAAAGGGAAAACCTCATATCGTCTCTCTCGATAAGATATGCCTTGACATTTTATATTTCAAAGAGCACAGTTAAGGATTTGTCCTAAACGCGAAAGCTAACTGTTTTTCTGTAGAATGTTGTTGATTTTCCTGTGTGTTTTTGTTACTGTTTTCAAGCCTTTTCAATGTGCACGTGAGATCGGCAATCCAGACGACAATGCCAGAGATGGCATGGAAGAGAAACTGGAATATATGGAGATGGAGCTTACAGAAGTGAAAAAAGTCGTCCTTCGGCTTGATGAAGAAAATGCAGAGCTGAAGGCCAGGCTCGGAGATCTAGAAAATGCTTTCCAAAATGGAGAAGGAAAACTTCAGACCTCTGGGCAAGACAGGACCATGGTTGGCAATGCGTTGAAAAGTTCTGACATCGTGCATGGAGTTCCGAATGACTCAAAAAAAGACATGATTATTACAGAAAATCAACAGTATCAACTGAAGGGAAGCGATTGGAACAGAAAAAGAATAGGTTATTATGAAATGAATTAATATTTCCTAATTAATATTTAATTGTCAAATACCATTAGCTCAATCTAAGGAATCTTTGATTTTCTCAAAAAGAACAAGACATAGTAACGACCGAATCTGGTCCCTTATTTGATGAAAAACTCAGATCACAGTTAAAAATGCGATAGTTTGTAGTTGTTTGTAGTACTAAGATTAGTTGTAGAACTAAGATTAATCCTTTTTTTTACAATCAGCAATAGTTTGATTCAAAACTTACAAAGATACCTTAAAAGCTAGCTAGGGCCTGGCAATTGGATATTTTCCTAAACTTCCTTAGTTTTAGTGGAATTTGTTAACTTCGAGATAATATTCACTTCGTAAAACATAGAACAAAAGCTTGCCTATCTGATATTTTTATACACCAAAATGAATTTGAATTACCATATTTATATTGGATTCCAAAACTTTATAAAATCCTTACAATTTTGCATTCATATGATGAAGAATTTGTCTTAAACATTATACGCGAAAAGAAGAAAACATTTGCTATGGCCTACATTTCGACATTTCGATCAATCGACGAAGTATTGTCAATTAACAATGATTATTTCTATTCTTATGGCGATTCCATAAAACTTGCTGAGCTTCGCCTGGTTAGACAATGGTTTTCATGTGGTGAAAATTTTCAATGTTACACTCAACTACATGCAAATTTTATATACTAGTATTTATATATTAACATTTACAGTACCCCCACCGACAGCTCTAATCGGTGTAATTTCTATGATAAATGTGTTGACTTTAACTTTTCTATTGTCAACTTCCCTTACTTATGCAGCAATATACCTTCATCACCTGCATACGGATTTTATGTATCCAGCTTTACTCGATACGCAAGAGCATGCTCTACGTATGAACAATTTCTAAAACGAGGTAAATTATTGACAAGCAAGTTAATGAAACAAGAATATCAACAGTCTCGATTAAGGTCATCATTTTGTAAGTTCTATGATCGACACAATGACCTTGTCAGCCAATACAATTTGTCATCAAGTCAAATGCTTACTGACGTTCTTCATACAAATTGTTAGTCCATTATTCATACACTGAGTGACATGGAGCACACGGCGGATGTGACCGGTGGACACTTCTCCGTGACACCTTATCCCACTTCTGATGTTTTGGACGTCCGTCTTTGCTCTGTTTCTATTTTGCATTGTTTTATGGATTATTGACCCTATGTATTGTTCGTAATATAAATATGTTTCATTGGTGTTATTTATCACAAAGCCATCTGCAACAAAAATTTGTAATTACAGTACATCCCACGACAGCTCCAGTGGGTATTATCGCATTTCATGCTTACCTTTCACACAACATACCGGGTCCCCTTGCTGAGCATCACATAATCCAGTTTGATTTTGTGCAGCTGAACAAAGGTAACGGGTATCGAGCGTATGACGGCCTTTTTGTGGTACCTGCATCGGGAACGTACGTTTTTACCTGGGGATTCATGTCAAACACTAGCGACTGCGTGTACACTCAGCTCATGAAGAATTCCGATGTCCTAGGCACTAGGTACGCAGACTCCTGAAGTTCGTCAGTTTGGGATTTTGCCACAGGTGTTGTTGTGACAGACACAAATCAAGGGGACCACGTCTATGTCCGCACAGGACAACACACGCACAAGGACTTTGCAAGCATTGTAGGGAGCAGGCCCACCTTCTCTGGATGGAAGTTGAATTAAATGAAAATTAATTAATCTGTTTTTGTTGTCTTCACAGGTGCATATAAGAGTTATTCTTTGACCCCCGAGTACAAATTTCAGGAATGCATCCAGGAGAAGGTCTTTGAAAGAACCAATGACAAAATGTGACGATAACGTACAGTATTCAAGTCCTAAGTCAATATTAACAATACAGATCGGGAGCATAGCAAACACGGACCTCTAAATTATCAGAGGTGGGATCAGGTGCCATGGAGGAATGAGCTTCCTTGTCGATTGACCGATCAAACTGAATAATTTAATTTTTTAATATTAAAATTTTCTTTCGTTTTTATAAGCATTATACACTTTTGTGACTGTATACAAGACAGATCGCCGTCTGATTCTGCCAGCAATCGCCCAGCATAATTTGATTGTAGAAGTTCATTGTCTACCACACATGACCAATGTAATTTTTCGAAACTGATTTGAACATAAGTATTATAGCTTAACAAATCACATTGGGACTTGAAAACAGGTACTCAGGTTGCATTTAACGTCTCTGTAACCTGTTCAACTATTAGTATTTTCCACGTGCAAGTTTATTTTCGGTTGAAACTCAATATCATTTATGTCGCTAGTCCACGAACGTATGATAACCCATTGTAAATAGCGACTATACATACTATTTTTGACGATTTAAGACATACGACAAAGAATTATTCTATAACTCTGGTATTTTAACAAAGAGCCACTTCATAAAAACATCGATCAAATTTGGGACAGACTTTAACGGGGTAACTGGATTATCTTCTCGTAAAATTTTAAGACTCCCAATCCCGATATTTGTAATTCTACGAGTCTTTCTTTCGCTCCTCTCTGTAATTTTGTTGTTCATAAGATTGATATCTGTGTACTGATACCAATGTTAATCGTCAGGTTGTGACATCGCGCACAGAATTGGGGCTGATTTTGTAACGTCAGAATATACTTTTCTGACGTTATTGCCTATGTCGTTTAAACGTAAAAACGTCAAAAATTCAAGGCGTAACAAATCAGACTAGACATTCAATTTTTGCTCCTGTTTTCTTAAAAATGTCTTACTTATTGTTTCTTTAAATACAAAATTTTATTCATTTGCACATTTCAAAAATAATATTTTATCTGTTAAAAGTTGTCTCACAAAATAAAGAATACAGTTCATATTGGTGTTATACGCCCGGTTAAATATCATGATAAGCATATTTGTGTCGTAGTAACAAAACCGACTAGACATCAAAATCGCTCTATTAATCTCTCCTTCCGCTTGCTTAAATTTTTTTAAAGAAAAATTTGACTACTTCTTGATTATCACATTTTATTTATCAACTTAGTTTTACAAAAAGAACCCTTTATAATTTTATATAGTAAAATATCTTTGTCAAACATTCTATCTTTTCTTGTAACTTGTCAGGATTACGGCATGTTACGGAACGCTTCCTATTTTACGAACAGTCGGAATAGTCCGTAAATTAGAAATTTATTAATGAATATTGTGTGAAATCATCACAGGAAATTATAGAGGCTTGCTACACATTGCCAGAAAAATCCATGAAGCCAAAATGATAAAATGACCAAAAATACTAACGCCCGTCGTTTACAGTGTTACAAGTTACGCAATTTCAAACCCCAACACTATGCGCGACGTCTGTACTTTTATCTTGTTGTACACATAAATCTATCTCTTTCGTGTGATCTAATTAAACGGACACAATTCACCATTGATCTAACTCGAATTGATATTTCATTAACAACTAGAACAAATATGTACATTTGAAATAATGAATACTGGAATGGACTTTTCTATAAATGTAAGAAAAGGGATGTTTTTAAATATAATTCTATTTACTCAATATCGTAAGTATATTTTCATTGTTAGTATATCCTTTATAAAGTCACGTTAACAGTGAAGCGAAATGATAGTACTGCTATAATATCATTCATTTTTTTAGATATATGTATTTGAATAAAAAGAATTACGGCAATGCTCTTTACAACTTACTGAATTGTGACGCAGCTTACATAGAAACATTATGCCGTAGTTTCAAAGATGACATTACCTCTTCCATGCAAGCACTTTGAAACGCGATACAAGTTTCTTTTAAGTTTATCGTAAATAATCATGACGGTACCTAACAAGTAATAATTTATAAAAGCTTAAAACATTTTTGTGACGTCATCTTTTGTTAAACCTGGTTCAATAAATTTGTTATTGTCCTGCACCCCGTCCAATAAGTTACCTGTAGGTGTCCAGTAAGATTCAACTTATTGGACAGGTACAGGTAACGTTAAAATGAGAACAAAGGGCGAGGCAAATAAGTAAGCACCACGTAAAAGGCAATGACAAATTAAATCACACAATTTAATATGAACAATGTAGGAAATTATAGTAGCGTTAAATGTTAATATTTCACAAAAAATCCTATTGAAAATGGCACAAATAATCCAGTGAATTGAATGTCTCAGATTCATTATTGTAAACGCATCCATGGCTCCGATTATAAATTTCCTAAATTCACCGTTCATACAATGATTGATCCACGGAACATATACAGAATCCAATGGACACAAAAGAGGAATGAGAAGCATGTGTTTTCTTGCACACAACCATGGGCTTTTTGTTTATTGAAATATCCATTTTTCCGCATTTAGCAAAAAATTTAGCTCACGAAATTCCAACGGAATCTGTAATTTCGTCCGGTGATTTATGACCATTTGTCCAACAAGTCCTGCGTCGTTTAATCGAGTATCTGTCGTTTTAAGGAGTGGCTGGTGTAAAATCCTTCCGCGTTCGAAGCCTGCGCACAAAAGAGAATTGCATTTTTAAAAAATACACCAGGAATAATCTCCCAATATCATAGAAAATGCTTTAATAAACAGTTGTTTGAGTAAAATCCTTCAAATCCTATTGCTTTACAAAAACTACCTTTTAACGGGAACTGTTTCTTGCAAATTCCGAAACATAAGAATATATATACGGATTTCACAGTAAAACCTGAACTTAGGCATCTTGGTGTAATCAATAAATGGCATCGTCAAAACACCCGATTCTGAAGGTCTTTTTTTAAAATTAAAATGTACGTCTTCATCCGTGGTCATTGCGTTGTAAAATGAATAAATTGTAAAGAATTTAGTAGAACTGACTTTTACGCATGCGTAGTATATATAAAAAATGTCGCAATGCGGATAAATAAGACTAAACAAAGTTAATTTTCATATTCATCGATATAACACACCTTTAGATGATTCCTACAATTGATAAAGACAGAAGAAAAACCAAAACTGGTTTTCTTTGGCCTAACTTGATGAACAGTGCCAGGTAGTCATCCAAGCAGAACGAGACCTTATCTGTGACTGTCCAATAAGTTAACAATGGAAGTGTTCGACAATGGTAAAATGTTTTAAGTAAGTTATAAGCCTCAAACTGACCATTATGTCAGATATTAGACTCTCCTCGGCGCTAACGCGCCTCCGGTCGTCTAATATCTGACATAATGGACAGTTTTCGGCTTATAACCATTACTTACCACTTTAAGTAGCAAACTTAAGCAATAAATATACATACAACCATCATGCCATATCAGTTATTCTTTAGAATTTCTTTGCTTTGTATTTTTTCATCAGTTTTCACTGCCATTATAAGCCCTACAAACTGAAAGGCTAATAGCGACGCTAGAAGAGTACATATATTATATAGTTGAAAAGAAATAGCAAGAATGATTAATATAGCCATATATAATAATTATGACGGTAGTATTTTAAGAAGTACTGAAGTAGAGATTTAAGAAAAAAAAGCTTTCCACCTTAAGCAACACTTTTCTTTATCAAGGTAAAAAAAAGATAAATTATTGACATTTAATCTTGTTTAATCCTTAAATAAAACATAACTTTTTAACCAAAGAACGTTCTTTTCAAATACTGACGTAAAATAAGATAACATTTAATCAAGCCTTATTCTTTACTATACTTCGTCAATATCTTGAAATAGTTTGAAATATAAAATGTGGTCTTCAAACTCTCCTTTCTATACTTTACCATGAAAGAAAATTTCCAGTGAAATGTGTTTTTTTTTACAGTACAAAATAAAAGTTTATCTAAGAATACCTCTATATCTTTAGATACTTTATTAAGCACTCACGACTTATCGAATTTGAAAGAATTTCTGATTACTAGCACCATCAGCTGAGACTTTTCCCGCCACTCAGAGAGGTCATTATGTCCTTATCATCAGGTCAAGGGCATCATGTCCAGGTGTTTTAGGCAATGAGTGTATTTATTTCGATATTTTCTTTGTTTTCGACGGCAAAAAGTAACACACTAAAAAATATCTTGAATCAACTTTAACATACACTCTGAAAAATAAAGACTTTAAGTGGAAGTAAATTTATTAGCTGAAAGACTTATTTTAGTCACATTAAGTAGGATAAAATTTCAAAAATAGAATTACGAAGTCAGGATAGTTGCTCATAGATGTTATAAAATGGTTGTAAAAAGGAAACTCGGAACGTTATCAATTGATCTAAATAAGGTGATGTCAACAGCATAGACCGCCTGTGGAAGCTAACATATGTCAACATTTACTTGTCCAAATAACACATGCAAAAATGAGATTTTTTTTTAATTTGATATATTCTAGCTGTTTTGGTCAACCATCAACAGTTTTTTAAACATCTGTTTTTAAATTTATTTTCATTGGATCATCTCGTTTTTTCAGTGACCTGGATTATAATCGATCTTTCACCATGATCTGGAATAGTTCCACGAACAACACTATTATATGTACGTTTTATTTTCTTATTTTTTTTTTTACATACTTTGAAAAAAGTTATTAATAGTTAATTGCATGCACTGATGATATGGAATTATATTTTTTAGTTAATCCACCGGAAATATCGATCTGGGGATTCTGGGTAAAACACGTGGCGACCCCTATTGTTACTGCTGTCGGACTAACAGGAAATACTGTCTTTC